TTTTCTACTCACCCCCATGCTGAACAACACTCTGGAGTACTTTTTTGATATCTCAAATGCATCTGGAGCTCTGGGAGGCTTCTTGCTGTCTGCTGACATTCAAATAATGGAGGTGTATGGTGACCGAGACAGAAAGGTCCATAAAAGTCCACAAAAACGTGTCAATATTCCTCCATACTGCTCGTCCAATGTATTCCAAGTGTCCTGAGTGGGTAGCGTCCATAATTTACTCGAAACGAAGTCATTTAGAATGTTTTTAGAGCATAAACAGTAGTGTATAGGATTTCCTGAAAGCGCGTTCACGGCGCTACGGAAACCGCGGCAGACCAAACCAGATGAAAGTGCGCATTCAGTGTCTGCTCTGCCAATAATGCAAGCGTAGAAGAAGAAATGTGCTGTTTACCTGTGCAAAGAAAGAAACAACGAAAGAAAAATGTCTGAGGACTTCAGTGTTGAGGAAGAGCATGAGTTCTTTGCCGAGCTGAATGCGCACTTTCATCCGGTTTGGTCTGCCGGCTTCCGTAGCGTCGTGAACGCGCATGTGCGCGCTTTCAGGAAATCCTATAAACTACTGTTTATGCTCTAAAAACATTGTAAATGACTTCGTTTCGAGTAAATTCTGGATGCTACCCACTCAGGACACTTGGAATACATTGGACGAGCAGTATGGAGGAATATAGACACGTTTTTTGTGGACTTTTATGGACCTTTCTGCCTCGGTCACCATAGACCTCCATTATTTGAATGTCAGCAGACAGCAAGAAGCCTCCCAGATCTCCAGATGCATTTGAGATATCAAAAAAGTACTCCAGAGTGTTGTTCAGCATGGGGGGTGAGTAGAAAATGAAGGCTAATCATGTTTTGGGTGTACTATTCCTTTAAAGGACCAGAATAAGCATCATTGTGTTGATTATAAAAATCTAATGAGCAATAAGTTTCAGAAAAAAATTCATAGATCACCTTTTGACTCACTATTCCCCAAATCCAGGCCCTGCACCAACAAACACAGCAACCAAACCAACTTTTTTTTTCTTTCGTTTTCAGTCATTTAAAGGTGCAGTAGATGTAGTAGAGCAATAGGAAACTAACAAATCCAGGTTAGTTGTTGAGCTTATCCTTTTTCTTGAACTCGGGCAGTAAAACAGAGCACCAGCTGAATTGGAGAAAAAATGTATAGAAGGAAATACAATAAGCCTGCTAATATGCCGACAACTCTGCCGCTGATCAGCTAACAGATGTTCAGCTTCCTGTGGGTCCTGGACTTCAGTTGGTACCGTCCAGCGTCAGGAGACGGGGACCCTTCACAGCTCTGTTCACATCCTAATAATCTGAAGGGAAGTGGGCCCTGAAACATGTTCCACTCAGGCGCTGGAGTAAAAGTCAGCTCTCTGATTCACAGGAAAACTGAATCCTCAAGTGTTTCTCGGTTAAAAAAAAAAAGAAAAGAAAAAAAAGTGGTTTTCTGGGAAAAATGCAGACAATGCTGTTTTCAGGGGAAAATCCCATTTTCTTCACGTTCTGTAAAGTAATAAATAAATTCAATTTATTTCTACAGCTGCTGATTCACGTCATCTTTCCTGTCCCATTAAAGGTTAATTTTTTTCTATCTAAGAAAAACCAGCTGATTGAATTTAATTAGGGATTCTAAGCTTTATTCCTTTCTCAAAATCTGCTGTAATTTCAAAGAAAACTTTAAGATTCATGTGAAATAAGATGGAGGTCAAGGAAAAACTATGGCTAAATAATCAGGATGGGATGTTGGCAATCAGCGTCTGACATGAAAAACTTACAATGGTTATTATTATTTGAACACTGAGCTGAACGATAAGACCAAAAACTGATAGCAGCATATATTTTAGTCAATGTGATATAGTTATATGTATTTAAATAAAAAAACCTCAGAAAAACTACCAAGAACACCTGCAACAGATGTACAGACCTGACGACTACTTCACTGTTCTATGTATTCTATATTAGTTTTATATATATATATATAAATATATAAATTGGTAATGTTTTTTTGTTTATTCTGTTTATGCTGTTGTGAAAAGGTTATTCTTTCAGCAAATGTTCAAGTTTAGTGTCTGAACTGTTGGTCTGGGTAGCGGTTCCATTGGGGTCCAAATTGTTGAGGATTGTTTCAATTACGATGAATCAGGATTAGACTACACTCCCTAGAGTCAATCAGCATGCAATATAGCTGTCAGTTTGTGCAAAAAAGGACCATAATAAATGTGAAATAAGTTTGGTTCTACGGGAGCCTAAAGTTTTATTGCATGTTGTTGTTTTTCCTTCCTATGAACTTCTTTTAGCAGCAGTCTGCAGCACAAGGTTTGGATGCTGTCCCCTTAGAGGTTGGGTCAGTGACCTGGACCTTGGAAAATGTCAGTTTGCTCACAGGGTTGGCCCGCCTGTGACACACAGAGCCACAGTAGAGAAGTTCACCAGTGAACTTTAGCACTCAGCCAGAAGTCTGGTGGTTTAGTGCGGCGCTCAGCTGCATCTCAGAGCGAAGGAAGAGAGCTCAGGCTTGAAGCCGAAGCCTCAGGTCAGCAATCCAGCTATTTCCCCCTAACCGTATTACAGCCATTAGTGACTCTGACTGCTTTTCACGTGTCACATGGAAATAGGTCGAGTCATGGCCTGTGTGACTCGCAGGCTCTTTTCCCTCTCTTTATCCTTGCTAACCATGTTCAGGTGGTGAATTGGCTGCATGGGAACGGAGCTGGATCAGTGTGCCCTGGTGTTCCTGCTCAGCTTCGTAACAGTCACATGTTTTCTGTTTCTGTGAAAGGTCGCGCATTGCGTGTCCATCGCTGTCAGCAGATGCTGCGCCGCGGCGAAGGCAGGGACTAGGAGTGATGTAGAGGAAGAATATCAGTGTTTGATATCTGAGAGCAGCCGTCCTGGCCGGTTCTGATTCTGGTCCCCCTGGTGGATCTCAGTGGGCCTGGCTGCTCTGATGTGGAACAGAAGCTCCTGGAAACAAGCCGCAAACCGCTGGAAGACGATGAGGGCTGTGGTGATGTGGGGGGGCAGGGGGGTGGGGGGGGGTTGGGGGTTAAGAGGTTGTGCTTGTCTGTTTTCCATTTGCCCCCCCAGGTCTGCTTATAAACCTCCACTTATTGCTCTGTGTTTGAGAAAAGTCCAGTTCTGACATCTGGCTTTGCCCCGACGAGGTGCTTTTTGACTTCTTCTTCTCCTGGTTTGTTAATATGTATCAGGAATATTCACTTTTCTTTGTTCGCCCTTGTCTGGCAAGCTGTAATGTTTTGCTTATGAATATTGATACATGAAGTGTATATTAATGACCCTTGGTGACCTTAACCCTATCCTTATTGGCTCCCTGGTGGTATCTGCAGGCTCATGAATATTTATCTGGTTCTGTAACCTCCATTACCCTCATCTTCGCTGCCTAGCCTCCCAGAAGGACCGTCGTCATGGTAACCCCTTTACCAGGCTCTTCCTGACCAAGGGTGGGAAAACGTGTTTTTTTTTTTTTTTTTTTTAGAAAAGAGAAAAAGGACAGAAAAACCGAATTATACCAAAAAGATATCTTAAACATCTGATCTGGAAAAACATTGATTATAAGAGGTGATGTAGATCTTGCTGGGGAGTGCAGCTTTTAAAGCTGCTTCGTTAAAAGGCTAAAATCCATGAGTAGGACCACAACCCAGACTGTATTTAGTCAGGATTCAGTGGGAATCCATGAAGTAGTGCCCTGCTGTGAAGTGGAGAGAAATGATGTACAGATTTCATTCATGTAGGAATATCTGAAGAGTGCGGTGTGCATTTCAGTGTTTCCCCCACCAGTTTGGTCTTTGGGTGGGATCGACTATAGAACATTGCTGAAGAGAAACAGGTTAAAAGTTTTCCTTCTCATTTCATTTTACCTTTCTCTCTATATTCTTCCTTTTCTTTATCTTTGTCTAATTTTGTTGCATTTTAGAGTTAAAAACCTAACCAGGGGGGTATGTTTGGGAGTGGAACCCAATTTATAACACAAATTACTCTTTTATCATCTTTCTATTTCAGTTTATCAATAAACACCAATTTACAACACATATTATTTCAGGTCAGTTTATAGAAATAATTCAATCAGATCATCCAGACAGAATTAGATTTCTATAGAAGGAAACCCTGCTGATTGCATCCAGTCCTGACTTTACAGGATCCTCTCCTCATGGATGAGCAAGTAGAGGTAGTAGATATTTACAGCAATCTCTCGCACTGAGCATGCATGCAGCGACAGTGGAGAGGAAAAGCAACCTTCTGCTTTTGTTTGAGTATATATATATAATTATTCTCTGATGATCGGCCTTTTTGGCTCCACAGACCAGCCCCCATGCCTCCAAAGGTTGCTCTCTCCGTCTACTGGGTGGAGCGCATGTGTTTACCTAAGTATAAGTGTCGGTGGTGGAGTTTGAATCGTTCGGTTTCATCCAACATTTGTCAAGTTTGGTGTCATCCGTTCTTTGATGAGAAGACTTTTAGGACAGGTCTCTACTGAACAAATCTGAGAGCCCATAGCTCAGATTCCAACTGGCTGGAGAGAGTTTAATAACAGCAGGTCTTGATACTCGTTCAGTTGGACTTGGGTCTGTCCCCCATTTTACAGACATTCACACACTGACGGTGTTGAGCTGCATTGTAGCCACAGCTGTCTTTGGGCACACCATTATTTTCTTCCATAAAAATGTCATAAATGTCAAGAATAAGACAAGGGAATTTAACAAGTTTCATTTATTGGAGTGATTTATTCAGGCGACCAAGTTTATTACCGGATGTAATAAATAGAAAGTAGAGGTAGCGACCACAGATCAGTAATAGATTGAGATTTTAATGAATAGTTGACAAATGAAGGCTGGTTGGGGGTCCTGGACTGAATTTAATCTAAAGGGACAAAAAAATTCCCCAAATTAAAGTAAATTTGTAAAAAAAAATAAAATAAAAAACAGCTTGTTCTGTCTCATAAACTTTTTTTTTTTTTTTTTTTGCAGACGTGGACGGCGATGAGGAAGGGGGCCCTGATGACGGTGCTGTGGAGGAGGAAGGCTGGTTCGGGAACACTTCCGATACGCGCTCCGACTCGTCGTCTTTCGGAGACACGCAGGACGAGCTTCTCCTGCACAGAGGCTCCTCTCCTGAGGATCATCCCGGGGTCAGCTCCGGGGATCACGACGCCTGCGGAGGCGAGGGCTCACTGGGTTGTCGGACGCCCGTCCGTCGTGCCTCTTTGGAACTTCTCGGCCTGGATGGAAGTGCATTCTCGGCCCAGGACACTCTCTCCTCTGTCGTGTCGTCACTGTATGGCGAGGCGGCATCTCGAGCCCTGGGGAAACCCCTCAGCAGCAACCTGCGGCGCCTCCTAGAGGCTGGCTCCTTCAAACTTGATGGTGGAGAAGTGCTGGGTCGGTCATCCAGGGGAAATTCTGGGGGAGAGTCTCCTCCGATTGCTCTGGCTCCACCTCTGACCCTTTCCCCGTCTTCCCATCACGCCCAGCAGTTAAGTGCTCTTGCCCGGAAACTGGCCAATAACAGCAGCAGTGGTTCTGCCTCACCAGCCTCCTTGGCTCCCTCAGTCACCAACATCAAGCAAGAGCCCCTTGACCCCTTTAATAATGTCACCCCTAGCAACGGAGGTGGATTTGTGTGGGCAGGCGTGTCCGATAAGTGGCCGCCAGCCTCCTGCTCCACGCCCTGTGGCTCCAGCCTTTCCCCAGACTCTGCCATCCAGAAGCTAAAAGCAGCGGCTAACGCCGTGCTCCAAGACAAGAACGCCATCGCTTCCTCCTCAACAACCTCCTCCTCGTCCACTGCCGCGTCAGCCGCAGTGCCCGCTCTTGGTGGCGGCAGTCGAGGGGACGACGTGGTCCGCTTTGATGCCTTCAACTCTCCGTTCAGCCCGCAGTCGGCGAGCTCAACCCTCGCCGCACTTTCCAAGAAAGTGAGCGAGAGGAGCCAGGCCTCCTCGACGGCTCGCGCTGCTCCGGACCACCAAGCTTCGGCGAGCTCCTTCCTGTCCCTCGTTTCAATCACCACCTCCTCTGCTGCCTTGCTCAAAGAGGTGGCAGCCAGAGCGGCAGGAAACCTGCTGGCAGAGAAGAAGGATGGTTCCCCGCTGTCGAACGCAGGGGTCCTCCAAGAGGACGTGAAGCCCCTGCTGGACAAGAACCAGAAAGCCCCGACGCCCACCACACCTACGCAGACCCTCGAGTTGTTGCTGCCATCGACGCCGAAGGGCAGAGGCAAACTGAACAACCAAGCAGGTAATCTGAGGGGATTATATTTGGTACCTTTCCAAATATTACATCCTCATTTCTGATTTCATGAAGCCTTGAGTTCTGAAACGTTTCTGAACAGATTCTCTCCTCGTGTTTAAATACATTAAACTTTGAATAAGTTAATCTGAAAGACTTGAAGGTCACTTTGTCCCAAACATATTTTAAACGGGTCAAACATCCTGTATCATTATTGTTTGGAGGAAATCCATGATAGGTAAATAGTAAATGGTCAATACTCAAAAAGCTCTTTTTCCATTTTCCAGCCAGGTCCAGCAATGCTAATGCTGGTAAAAATCTAAATATTTAACCTACCTTTTCAGAGGGAAAGCACCAACCTCAGCCTTCCCTCAGAGCCTCTTTGCCTCCTTAAATCGACACAAATGGCCTGAAATTTGATTGATGTTAAACTTTGTTTTGGTTGGTGTTGAAGGAGCCATTTTTTCAACTCTCCCAGGAAGCTAAAGGGTTTTCCTGTTGGTAAATAATCCTTTCATGTTAACGAGAACCAGAAATAAAGGTTTATCTGTTTCACATGTAAAACAGGCGCAGACATCTTCATACACTAAGCAGATAATCAAAGAAGGGGCAAAGTGGTCTGTTTGCAATTCATCAGACAGCATTCAACACCTTTGTGTGTTCGGCTTCATCAATATTCAGATCATATTAGAGACATTATCACTCACAGTAAAGTTTCCTCTCTTCACCACTGGGATTTTACTTCTGCCTTGATTGATTTAAAAAGTCACCGTCATCACCGTCCTCCGTACAGTGATATTTACTTTTCATTGAAGTATTGTTTGTAACACTGTGAGATCGGCGATGGGTTTACTATCAATATTATTGTTTTTTACTATATATAATATATTGAATTATTTTTATCTCCATGGCTTAGAACCTCATCTTTCTTTTACAGTCGCTCTCAAACTGCCAGTCAAACAATCGGTACTAATAAAGAAATTTAGTCCCTCTTATTCTGAATGTTTGTAGATCAGGACCTAGGTGATCTGTGGATGTTTTATTTAGAAAATTCATGGTTTTGATTAAACAGTTATTGCTACTCTTTTCTCTGTAAATATGCTCTGTCCAGAACTTCGGCTTCACTGGGTTCAAACCCTGTAAAATGAAAATGAAAGAGGAGTTTACTAAAGATCTTTTGTTAGCAGAAGAGTATTAATGAGATCATAATGTGGGCACTGAATTTATTTTGGTTTTTAATTTTTTAATTTAATTTAAATTTTCCCATTTAAAATTAATTTTCCCTGAAGTTCACAAGGTCCAATTATTCAGGTTAAATAGTAAAATTAACACAAAAAGATTTACTTAGTTTAGTTTCCAAACAATCCAACCTGCTACGTCTTTAAAAATATAAAGTTATATTAATTTCAAAATGGCCTTTAATTATATTTTTAATCATTTTGAATGTATTTCATTATTAAAGAGATATTTTATAATTTAACTGTTTATTTTATATTCAAATGATGGATAAATACATTTACTTATTTCTACTTATTTCATGGTTTATTTATAGATTTTTGGCACACAAACATTGGCATTTTTCCAAGAAATTTTTAGCTCTGTATTCACTCCAGGATTTTAAATATATTATTATATTAAATTAATAAATAAATATATATTATTAAATGAAGGGATTTTAAAATTTTAAACCACTGACCAGCTTTTACTTCTTTTTTTGGGGGTGGGGTGTGTTAGGTTGGAAGCCCTCCCTGCCATCACCCTAATCTTTATGATTTTCTATGGGATTTGACCTCCAAACATTTAGATTACATCCATGGAAGAGAAGCGTTTGTGACATTGAATTTTACTTTAAGCTGTTTTAAAAATCTGAAAAGGAATTGTATTGAATCTGAAAAATTCTCTTTATTAAACTGATGATCAGAAGTGCTGAAAATGATGACTTCCGTCAAATAGTGAGTTAACCTTCGTGGAGATTGAGTTCCTTTTTCCTCCCACTGAAATTCCCAGAAAAAGCACAGCTCTGAACCTCTCTGACATGTTTTCTGGTGTTTGCTCATAGCTTTGCTCTCACTTCAGCGGCGCCACGGTGGTGGTAGTGTAGCTTCAGCTCTGTCAGCCCAGCAGAGAAAACAGCCCTGCTGGCCTTACAGTATGGGAAATGGCCTGCGGCTCCACGGGGGGGCTCCGGCTCAGACCTCGCTGCCTCCCCTAAACCAGTTCGCTTGCGCTCGGATGTGCGTGCTGCCAAAAGGGGGTCGGCAGTGTGTGCTCGGCTCAGCGGGGCGCCCTGGAGTCCGTATCCATCTCAGCAGCCTCCTCCTGGCTGCAGCCCCCACTTACCAGAGCCCTCTGCACTCATCAGCACTGTGGACTTAAGGCCAAACACATCATAGTTTCCACTGACTGGATACAGATGCCTGCACCCCCCCCTCCCTCTCTCTGTTGCTCATGCAGTACACTTGGCAAGCGTACACTCAGATGTAGACACGTAACCCAAACAATGGTGCACACAAGGATCTGGTTGGGGACTCTAAGTAGTCTTAGGGGGGAAGCAAATGCTTTCAGAGAGATTGATGGGCACCACCCCGCCAAACCTAAAATGGCTGGATCAAATTGACTTCAGAAAGGATGAAGCAATCGATGTAATACTTTGTGATCTGCATGCTAAAAAGGATGTGGGTCTGCTCTAACCCAGGCTGCCGTCAAGGTCAAGCAGCGCCATAAAATCTGTAGGTACTGGCTTGGTCTGTAGGCGGAAAACGTGACCTTGGATGTGGAGTCAGACTGTCCTGTCCGAGTTGTTTAGAAGAATGGAGCTCAGACACGTTCAGGAACAAACGTTCCTCCTGTTCAAACCTGAGGAAGCATCTATCCTGTTTATTTTTATTTCTGCTGAGCTCAGAGGGGTTTGGCCGCAGATGGTGGTTTATTGTTGCAAATAGGCAGTCTAGAGGTTTTACACCTCAGGTCAATGAATGGCTGAGTGCAGTAATTTCACCAAACACTGATTACCAGATGTTTTTCAAGGAACGGCGCTGGAATACTTATGAAGCCGTCCTGACAGGCCCCTTGTAGAATCTGTAATGCAATCATGCCTCTTTCTAATAAGACCAATTAAACAGTAATGGATGCCGGATATGAAGCCAACAACAATAATCAAGACACTAAAACAGGCCGAGTTTTTCTCCTCATCGTTCCATTTGCTTCTAGCTGCTGTGCCCCTCAATGTCTCCCATCATCAAGCGCACAGATCTCCTCTTCCGTCTCTAACAACAGGCGCCACAGTCATCAGATCCTCTGGTGTTAGAAACCTTCAAAAACAACAGCTTTCTATTAAAGCATCATCGTCCAACCTTTAAGTCGATGATCTTTGAGTGTTCAGCCTTTGGTTACCTGCTGTCAACGGTTTCTACGACCACCCCCAGCCACAGGACAGATCTGATAACTCTTCTTTAGGATCAGAGAGGGATCTATGGTCCATCCTCACCCCAGTTCTTTTCCACCGCTCCTCTCTCTAATGAGCATCCCTATGGTCCACAGGCAGCGTTTTAGTTAAGGCACCTGAACTGAGACAGAATGGAGACCAAAACTAGTGCCCCCAACTTCAGGTCACAATAAAATGAAACATGATCAAAAATCCTTCTTAAATTAATCCTAAAGATCCACACTCCCTTAAAAAATACAAGGGAAATAAATGTGAATTTCTCTTTTAAATAGTTATTACTAAAGTCTTTAATGTTTAGTTAAACATTTGAGTAAATTTCATGGTGGGTCTGATGAGTGACAGCAGTAACAGAAGTATATACCGGTAGTTATATTATTCCTTGGTGGGAATCATTTCATTCTATGTTAGAACAAACAAGAATAATAAAAGATAGAAAAAATGAAATATTCACAGCTTTGATCTTGAATAAAAATCCAAAGTCCTTATAGTTTGAGTCGAACAGAATCGAGCATGTATGCAGCCGGGTCGAAAACCATCAGAAAGTGGTCTCCAGACCACTGAGGAAGGAGACGTTCATGGAAGACAGTTAATCTGTCTGTCGACTCGTTTCTTTGTTAGATTTGTTTTATTGGATCATTGTGCAGATAACAGATTTTCAGGATAGATTCCAGTCTCTAGCATAATTCCAAGGCCTGTAGGATAGTCATTGGACCCACTTCATCACACTGCCTCTACCATACCTATCAGTGGACATGTGGCTTCCTTCAGCTGTACAGTTTGTCTTCTCTTTCATCAAGCAGCTCATTCAACAATTACTTACTATCCGGCACTGGGGCTGTTAGAAATATTGGTACTCTGAAAGTATCAATAAATATCCTGATGAAGTATTGATTTGACAGTTTGCATACTAGAGCATTTGTTGCTATCCTTAATTTTAGATTTCTACATTATTCCACAGTAGAGAAACCTTAAAGGCCAGAGGTTCAACTCTTTCATCAAAACGATGCAGTTTTCTAGAATAAAACATCCAACATCTAGAGTGGTAAATAAAATTATTACTTTAACTGAAAAGATAATTATATCTAAATGTTATAAAAGTGTTTCAGGAGGGGATCTATAATAATTTGTCTCCGATTCATTAAGTTTAAATGGGATCATAAGGGAGTTACTCCGAGGAGCTCCAGTTTTATAAATACAGGTTTATAATGCAATTTTATTTTATTTTTTTCTTCCTAGCTTCAAGAAAACATATTTATTTAATTTTTTTTTTATTTGAGTTGGAAGGAATAAAATGCCAGAGAATTAAATGCTCAAGTTAAAAGTATTAAGTAAAATAATTTTGATTTTGTTAGAGGTTATTATACATTCTACTTTTGAGCAATTGTCAATACTGAGAGGGTCACCCATGATCTGACATAATTCCCAAAGGGGTAGAAACGTCAAAAAAGGTTGGGAACCACTGATCCACCCAAACCTGCTGTCATTTCTCTGTCCATCCTTCTCAATGACTTTGGTCTCTAGATAAGCTCAGCTCATCATCCAGTCTGTGGCCAGAGGCTAAGAGAGTGTCGTGTCTTATTTATACCCCAGGGAAACACAGTCATGGATTACTAATTAGAAGTTCCTAGAAACCAGATTCCTACGATTTGCTAATTGTGCCTGTGGTGCTTTAATCATTAGTGAAAACGAGGTTTTCATTCCCTCTGAAAACTCGTTCTGTCATTAAAGGCTCAGTTTCTCCGCATAAGAAGGGCCCTTTTTCTTTGAAGGCTTTTATCCCTCTTTACCTCAGTAATTCTGCTCACTTCTGCATCAAGTTACTAGAAAATCTCAACTAAAATAAATCTGTTACCTTCCTGTTAGGAACACCTCAATGTAATTCCTAAACTTTGTGCTTTTTCTTTTAGGTTCTCCTGAGGATGGAGGCAAACCGTTCCAGTGTCCTGTATGCGGACTGGTCATCAAACGCAAGAGCTACTGGAAGAGACACATGGTCATCCACACAGGCTTGAAAAGCCACCAGTGTCCGCTGTGTCCCTTCCGCTGCGCTCGCAAAGACAATCTCAAGTCTCACATGAAGGTGGGATGATCTGGTTACATCTGATATCTGACCGTCCAATATTTTTAACATTTCCTTCCTTTGCTGGAAGTTATCAGAGAGGTTTCTTTATGGTTTTTAATAATTAAGAGTAGAAAAAATAAGAATTAAATTTTTTTCCAGCTGTTAAGAACCTGGAGAACAGTTAGATAAAGTAGGTTACTACCTTAAAAAAAAACATCCATCTATCCTCGGTCCGTCCATCCATCCATCCATCCATCCATGCATCCATACAGTCCAAAACTTTCTGGAACAATCGTTCCGTCTGTGTCCAGCAGTTCTTAGATGTTTTCCTTCTCCAACTCTTACTCTAATGTCTGACCCGTTAAGGACTTGTTAATTGGTTTAGGTCTGTTGGAGAAGAGACTCTCCTAAAAGTTCTGGCCTGGCAGCTCTGAGGACCGAACCCAGAACCTGCTGTGAAGTTATGGATCAGTTTCAGTGTTTGGATAGAACTAAACCATAATAAGTCAGGAGGTTGTAAATTCTGATATCTTAGTGTTCCTGATGTGACTCGTTTCTTGGTTCTGTTCTTCTTCTCCAGGTGCATCAGCACCAGGATCGAGGCGAGACATTTCAGTGTGAACTCTGTCCCTTTACCTCCTCCCGACACTTCAGCCTAAAGCTTCACATGCGGTGCCACCAGCACTTCCCTCGCACCGACGTCAAGGTGAAAGAGGAGCCCACCACCGACACAGAGGGCGAGGGTTCCCTGCTCGGAGACAGCGGCACCACGGATCTGAGAGCGGCAGAGGCGTCTCCGTTGCTTGCAGAACATCAGCAGCAAACCTCTCCCTCCTGTGAAGCGTCTTCTAATCATGTCCATATAAAGGAGGAGCCTCAGGAGCGGGACCTGTCCGTGCTGTCCCCCTTCAGCATCAGCAGGGACCGCCCCGCCAGCAGCACCAACTCCCTGGACCTGCCTGGAGTCGGAGTCGGGATGAGGTCCAGTCCGAGTGGTCCGACCACAGCCTCGCTCTTCAGCCCCGACATCACTACCAAAACGGCAACTGACCTGCTGATGAAGCTGTCAGGTGAGCTTCAGCTTCTCCTCTGGTGTCAATGATTGATCTGCTTATTGCCAGTTAAACAGTCTAGAAATGTTTATACAAAGTTACAAAGAATGACGATACAACTATGAGTGAAAACTGGTTTTATCTGGTTCTGAAAAGATCTCTACCAGCTGGATAAAACGCAGTCTATCTGTTTCCAATCCTGGAAGTGTTTGTAGCCACGCCTCCTGCTGCCATGAGATGGAAAAGCAGCAGCTTCTTGTTGCCTATTGGTTCCTCTGGTAAATGAATCATCATCAGTTTGACCTTTTTACGCCAGCGATCCACTGGATGTGGAAGCTGGAATAAATGTAGTTCTGTCTGTAATTAGGCGTCACAAGAATGATGTTTTTTTTTTCTTATAGTACTTGTCTTATACGTTTATTGTCTCCCATTCACCTCCTGGTTGGTTGTAAAGCTCCCCAGTCACTTTGGTTGAACCCCCAGTAATGGGAGGCACGTTGTATGGGCATTTTTATCCGTATCGGCACTGATTTTCACATCAGTGCATCACTGTGACAGGACTGGATGCAGTTTGTTGTTCTTGCTTTATTTTAAAGGCAAGGAAAGTTTATTTGTGTATTACAATTTAGTATAGAGGCAATTATTTGAAGTTCTTTAAATGAGTTAAACAATAAAATAGAAGAAAATAGAAGCAAGTAAAGATAAAAAAAAAACCAAAACATTTTTAACTTTGACTTCAAATAACTCATGTTTTCAGAACTTTTCCAGTCTTCTGGGAGTTTGTTCCAAATCAGTGGAGCATATAAACTATATGCTGCTTCTCCGTGTTTTGTTCTAGTTCTGGATGTCGAGACTAGACTGGAACTAGAAGACCTGAGTGGTTTGGGAGGTTGATACACTGACAATAAATCTGTTATTTATTGAGGTGCTGATCCATTCAGTGATTTATAGACTAACAGAAGGATTTTAAAGTCTATTCTCTGAGCTACAGGGAGCCAGGGGAAGGACTTCAGAACCAGGCTGATGTGTTCTACTTTCTTAGTTCTAGTGAGAACACTGCAGCAGCGTTTTGGATCAGTTACAGCTGTCTGATAGACTTTTTAGGCAAACGATATGACGATAAAGATAATTGCATTAATGAGTTTTTCTAGATCCTCCTTGGACATTAGTCCTTATTCCAGGGAAATGTTCTTCAGTTGATAAAAGGCTTACTTAGCCTTTATGCGCCTCTGAAGGTTATGGTCTGAGTTCAACATGACACCAAGATTTCAGCCATAACCAGTGGTTTCTAGCTGTAGTAGCTGAAGCTGTGAGCTAACCCTGGATCTCTCCTCCTTTTGTCCAAAGATTATTAGCTGAGTTTGGTTTTTATTCAGTTGGAGAACATGATGGCGCATCCACATATTGATCTGTTGTAAGCATCTAGGCAATGCTCTCATGGGTTCATAGTCACCTGGTGACTCTGTGATGTAAAGCTGTATGTCGTCTGCATAGTTATGGTAACTGATCTTGAGCTAAAGGGAGCATGTAGATGTTGGGCCCCAGAATGGAGCCTTGAGGAACCCTGTATGTGATTTTTCTGGTCTCTGATTTAATGTTCTCTACTGGCACACAGAAGTAGGATTTAAACCAATCTAGTCCACTTTTCTAGTACAGAATCAAACGCTGGAATGAGGTCCAGTAATACTTGCACTTTACTTTAAAGCTAACTTCAACTAAGATGTTTTGATGTTTTATGTGAAACCTGCTGTCAATAGATGGGGCTACAGTGGGGGTAGGGGGGCTGTTCACATTGTTTTAATAGAGCTCTGGTTGTTTCATGTCTGCTCTCATCATGCTTTTAGAATATTTTCGGTCATAATCGCCCAATAAATAAAGACTTTTCTCTTGCTTTAGCTGTGAAATACTTCCTGACATCCAGCTGATTAGGACACCCCCTTCAAGGTGCTCAAACACTCTTTTCTTTTTCTGCTTAGCACATATTTCAAAAAGCTTCTAAGATCAGAGTGTCAACTTGACAAAGATCTGCAAATTCTTCAGCTGCATCAGTTAAATCAGAGCATCGAACTACAGCAACAGCAGAACGGATGAGCTGAGTGGTCACCATCCAGTCTGTCCACTAGGACGGCCGCAGGGCCTCCTGGCTCAGTCTGCGGTAAAATCTGTGGCTCTGGATGTCACAGATATTCTGTTTCCAGTGGGTAAAGTCAACATCTCCATCCACCCCACAACCAGCATTGATTAGTGGTCGATATGAAGGGAACAGAATTATCAGAAACATGCAGCCAGAACACATGAACTGATTTATGGGGAATATTCATCAGACCTGCTCTGCTCTGTTCCTCTGCATCCTGGCCAGCTTGACCTGTTTTTCAGTGTAGTCCTGTTTCTCTGGCTGTGACCATCTGGAGGTGCTCTCTTTCATCTTCTGACATGGGAGCTGGCTCTGAGCTCCTCTGCCAGGCTGTGTGCTTTTTACAGTTGCCTTTTGTATCTCTGCTTCTTTCTGTATGTCCGCTTCTGTCTCCTTGAACCCCAGTCGTCCTTAAAAGATGGCCGCTCACGCTGAGCCTGGTTCTCCTGGAGGTTTCTTCCTGTTAAAAGGGAGTTTTTTCTCTCCACTGTCGCTACAAGCATGCTTTGTGTGAACGGTTGCTTTCAAGTCAATAAGTCAAAACAAACGGCTGGTTGTCCTTAGATTGAACATTTTAAACCAATCTGACTTTATGATGTGGTTGAATTGTCTCTGTAAAGTGCACTGAGATGACATGGGTTGTGAATTGGCACCATATAAATAGACTGAATTGAAGTGAATCCATCCTTCTGTTTTTAAATTGTTTTATTTTAAATGCTGCTAAAACTGATCTGAAATAATTCAAAATGTTAAAATCACATTAGTTCTTAAGTTGAGCAGGTATATAGATTTTTTTTTTAAAATCAAACCATGATTTCCGCCTTTATAAGATGAGTTTTATTCCTATTCGAACAAAACTCATCTTAATTTTTCAGCAAATTGTCATTTTGTTATGCTCAAAATAAGGAAATTAAAAGTATTTTAAGATTACTCAGATTAACTTTAAGCAGCGAGTTTTTAGTTTTTTCCTGGATGGTTTTAAAAGCCTCATCATGGATGCAGCTGGTAACAGACGGTGTTTGTTGTCCTTCTGTAAAGTTGCAGCATTTAGAAAAGTTTGTCAGGTGAAGAAGGGCCCCGTTGTTTTTGGATGCTTCTTACCGTGTTGCTAAACATGAAAGGACGAGTCGGAGATGGCAGTGAGATTGATGGAAAAAGGTCGAGCGAGGTGGAGCGCCAGGGGTCAGGCTAAGACTGCCACTCTCCCGCTTAATGCCGTGTAATTAAATTGAGATCTTCAGCAAGTATGTGAAGAAAGAAAAAACTGGGAACATTAGATTAATTAAAAATGTATGCATAATTCATAATTAAAAAGGAATTCATAATTTGAAATGATTAGCGCCCTGAGCGTCGTCCTGTGACCCCTGCAGGAATGCACGGGGACTCGGACGGCTTCGTTAGCCCCCCCTGATCTGGCACGCCCTGGCTCCACACAGGTGGCCCCTGGGGGCCAGGCGCACTGCACTGCCAGACTGCACAATCAAGTTTATCAGTTCCCAGAGGAGCCGAGAGGGCTCCTCAGTGTCAGATAGCGGCCATCTTGGTCAGGTCACTTCAGGGAGGATTAAAACAGAAAACATGGTTTCTGGTTAATTAGTGTTGAATAAACCCAGAGTTTAGAGCAGTTTGTTGGAGTAGCAGGAACTTCCTCCTGGGACCTCTGGACTCCATTTCCTCTGTCCTCCCTGCCAGCCCAGATTTAGTGCGAGACCAGCGCCTCATCGCTGCCGCTTCACACTCAGAGCATCACTCCCACCGAGTGGGGAACAAAGTGACACAGTAAGACGTAGCAAGAGTGGGTTTCATAGTCCCCCCCTCCCCCCACGGCATCAGAAAAGCCCTGAACTCTTCTTGACCTCTGACATAATAAGCATGTCAGTTTTTTGTGCTGTTTGATTTTCCTGAAGCTTCCATCGGTGTCGGCTGTCCAGTCTGATCCACATTCTGATTCCCAGATGAAAGCCGTAGAGGCACTTTGAAATGCACAGGCCCTCTCCTGAGCCCAGTGGACTCATAGTTAATAACGACCGCCCCCCCCCACACCGTGCAACAGAGGCAGGACGGGCTTGACCCTGGCTTGGTGTGAATAATTGGCATGCAGGGGGCTGCGGGAGGTGCTGCATCTGTCATGATGCTTCTGCAGTTGTCTTATTTATCCTCGTGTTGGGAGCAGTCCTCTGCTTCTCCTACGGTCGCGATTCTTTCCTTTAATTGTTCACCTACAGGCAGACCCAAAAGTATTCACACCCCAGGACTGTTTGTTTGTTCACTTTCCAACCACAGACATGATCGTGTTTTATTGAGACACTGAGGAGAGTTTATTTTGGAAGTGATTGGAAAAGGAAGTGCAGCCTGGATGTTATACTTTTACTGATTAATAATCTAGAAATATTTTCATGATAAGTTTATGCATTAATTAAGGGCAATAAAAGACAAACTGACCGGCAGTGATGGAGTCAAGTCAGTTCTTCTGAGACCTAGACCAATATATATCATTTTTTAGCACAATATTAATCAAGACTGGAGCAACAAAAAAGAAGAAGTTAATGAAAATAAAAGCAGCGGGGAAAAAATGCTCCCAAAGATTGTAGTAAGTTCTTCTAACCACCGGGAGCTGGACTGGCCGGTGATTCTATCAGTACCGCATCTTTTTGTCATTTCAGCAGCTTGTGAGCAGCGTTTATTTGAAAAGGCCTTAAAATTTCAGTGTTTGGCCTCAGGAGGCAGAAATTAAGGATGTGAGCAACATGGAGGATGGATGCCGTGGCTTTTCTGGTAGTACAGGAAAAAATGTCAGAAGGAACTACATGGGGGACGAAGGGATGGACCGGAACCCTGCCCTTCATGGCTAATGGTAACCTGCACTTCTTCTTGCTTTCTTGCAGTGATGTTATTTTTAGTCAGTGTAGATCCCTGCTTTAACATAGTGTCAGACTGTTTGCCTTAGTTTTAATGAAGTGGACGCTGACGCTTTGCTGTTTTAGTCTAGCAGATCTTTAAACAGATGGTTCTGGTTCTGGTTGCTCTCAGATAGCTGATAGATCTTGGCTCGATGAAGGTCATTAACTCATAAAACCTTCTCCATCTAGCGTACTAACTGCTAGCATGTCATTTTCCTATCCTGTTCCAAACAATTAGCGTAATGCCCTCCACTTTTCTATCATCCTCTCCCTCTGATCTCATTAGATAAGTTCTGCTGCTCCTCCATGCAGCGCGGCTAAATGGGCCTATTTAGGGGAGAAATGAAGGAGTTTATCTAGACTTTAGATTTACTAACAGAACCACAGAAAGTTCATTCTGGATCCTTGGAGCCATTAAACTGTGGAAATAATCTTGACCGGACTCTGGTTCCATTCATGGTTCTGTTTTATAGTGATGTCGCTACCTGATCAGTACCAGAACCTCACATGAGCAAGCAGATATTTATCCAGGTCGCCATAAACAATATAATTACGGTACTTCTACCGTAAATGATCAGATAATGCTAAACTACATCTTATGAAGAATATTTAACATCTTTTCTTAAAGAAAAAGATCGATTTTATATTTTCTATTTTAAATCTGTTAAAACACCACGTTTATCTGCATTTTAGCTGTCTTTCTTTAGATTATGCTGTACGTACTATGAAAGCACAACATGCAAACATAAAACTCTCTACATTTATTTATAAATGCAAAGCCGAAAATGATAGCTTTTGGAAGAGCAGAATCCAGTTTCAGGGACAAATCAGGCCCAGAAAAAGATTAAAACAGCCTATTTTACAATCGATAGAGAAGCTAATGTATTTCTGGTTGCACAGGTCAGGTAGTGACACGTGGCTCTTCTCTGGCTTTACTTACTCCTGCAAATAGCAGTGAGGCTCTGCCTAAGAGTGAACAACAGGGCCTTTACTTGGTTATCAGTCAATCTGATGGAACAATTTTTAATTTAATAAACCATTTATTGACAATGAAGTCGATCATTTGTTTATATCTCTTTCCGTTGATAACTATGTTCTTATAGGCATAACTTTATTCTCATGGTATGAGCAGTGCTGCACGTTCAGGAGCGGAAATGCTGCAGAAGCTTTTGAGGAGAAGCTGTCTGTTTTCTTTGTAGAAAAAGATCAAATTGAGCTTGTTTCTCCAGCCGAGGTTTTCTGTGTGCGACCTCTGCTCCAAACATCCCCTCTGCAGCCATCAGTATCACTGTCCAGTGTCTAGCACGATGTCAGCTGCTGCTGGGTTCTCAACCCGCCCCACGCAGCACTGCGCTTTCCTTCCTCCTCGCTCTGGGAAAAAAAAACAACAGTCGATTGTTAGAGGGGGAGCAGGCCAGCGTGACAGAGGTGGAAAGCTAATGAAGTTATTTGACGGCAGCCCTGACCACAGAGCGAGAGGTGAGGTGCAGCGGACAAGCGCCTGGCAGTGAGACGGATGAGGCGAGAGAGGGAGAGAGAAAGGAGGCAGGGAGCGCTGGTGGCAGGTGTCAGAAGGGTGCGATAACTTGGAGACACACTGATAGCATCGTCCATCCTGAGCTGCAGCTTCCTGCACACAGAGCTGTCATGGGCCTCAGTTAGCACACAACCAAAGCTTAGTCACCCAGATATGTCTGTCTAGTCGCTCCACCAACTGATCCGCTGGGGGAGTGGACAGCCATGATGCGCTACAAACTCTGCAAGACAAAAGACCAAAGTGTGAGCCTGGTGTCGCTGTCAGACCCGCGCTGCAGTATGGCTGCTTGTTAGCCCTCTGCTGCCTTTTTGTTCTGCCAGCATGTAGGAATAGAGACAGTCATTCTGCTAAGTGATGCATCAGTCTCTGGAATGTAGATTCCCTATTTATAGTCCATAAAGGTCAGGGACTGGTGCCGCTTTCCTGGAGCTCCTACTGTTCTTCGTCGCTCTGCCACAGATCACTCATTACGTCACAGCAACGAGATTCCTGCGGAAAACCGGGGTCTGGTTCTGTGTCTGCTTGGTTAAAAGTGCGCTGTCCGCTTCTGATCCGACAAGGCCTCAGCACGCCTCTAATTAGAGGACGTCCTTCCAGGTGCTGACCAGGTTATAACCGGCCTGCCCGCTGATGCCCGGGAGCCTGACATTTCCAGCTGGCGCTCCACCGCCCCCGAACTTCAAGGTGATCCCCACCACCATCAGCCTGAACCTGCCCTGACGTGGCCCTCTGGCGTCACACGGGTCGCTGGTTCAAACGCCTGCACCTGTCCCCCTTCTCTGCCCCGGAGCCTACGGGACGGATTGTCATTAATCAGAGGGACCGGAGGCGGCTCAGATTGATGGCACAGGGCCGATGTTCGCCGTGATGGGAGGGTGAAGACCAGAGCAGATCTCTGCTGAGGTCAGAGGAGCGTGAACAGCAGAGACGGATGGAGCGACCTTCCTGAGAGCTCATGACAGAGAAGACTGAGACAGACAAACTGATTTCATGATTTATTGAACTCGACCGATGGACGCAAATGAACGTTGGACATAAATCAAATGGGCCTCAGCTCAAACAACAGCAGGAGGAGTTTACATTTCTACGCATAGAAAGTTTTTAGTGCCAGTTGATGAAGCTGATGTTGCTTCTCTTCCTCTGCTCACTTGGTAAAGTGATAAAATAACACATGTTTTAGCAGCCTCAGTTCAATTATAGAGTAAATGTGTTCCTCTCCAACCCCAGCTTCCCCATCAGGACTTAGATTAGGATGTTCTTCGCTCTCAGATCATCCTGATGCAACAGGTTTCAGTCCTGATCCCTTCATGAACCAGGAAACCAAATGATTGGGGGGTGAGGAGTTGCTCCCTGTTGTCATGGCGCTGACATGTTTAATTCATATATACCTGTTCCTTCCTTCCTTCCTTCCTTCCTTCCTTCCTTCCTTCCTTCCTCCCTTCCTTCCTTCCTTCCTTCCTTCCTTCCTTTAGCTGTGCTCTGAACTAAATCGAAGATTCTGGCGGGTCAAATGTCAAAGGAGCTGCAGGTGTTAGGGTTAGTGAATGAAATCAGTCCTGCTTCTTAATTTTTTCTGTTTTGACCTCGTGGTGGAGCTTCACCAATCAGAGGACAGCCTTACGGACACAGAGACAGCAGCTCTGCCGGCTGTTCTTTGCTCCATGTCCCGTTATTAATTATTCATCTGAGGCCGATTAGATGTGGCCCAGTTTCTCCTGGAGACGCCTTCAGACCCCAGCCATCCATGTGACAGTTTTGTCCCTAACCAGGCAGCGCTGCTGTAGAACCCAGCTAACTTCCTGCCTGGATCTAAGGCGGTAAACAGAAAATCAGTTGTTGTTCTTCACCTTCAGCCTCTTCTTTGATGTTCATCCTGTGTTCATGTTCGTGTTTGGTTCTCAAACCTTTTTTCGGTCTGACTAGATCCTCTTTTAATCTGGGCTCATTTCTTCCCGCCTGCAGCAGCCAACCAGAGGGAATCATTAAAGTCTCCGTTCCACCTGAAGGAGGAGCCGAAGGTGGAGGAGGCTCCGAGCCCGAGGCCGTCCTCACAGAGCCAGGGTCAGGGTAAGCCGAGCTTCCCCGGGTCCTTCTGCCAGGAGCCGAGGGAAGGAAGCCCTATGGCTAAGAACAGCCTGCTGAGCCAGGACATCAACGTGAAGGTGGCGTCGGAGCTGCTGATCAAGCTGTCAGGTAGGCCCACCTCCTCAGGACCACATGCAAACAATTCCTCTGATTAACTCCAGCTGCACACTTTTACTCTGAAATGATGCATTTTATCAAGTTTGTCCTTAAGCTCAGTGATGCTCTGATGAAAGTTGCTTCCCCGAACATTAACTTTGCCTCTTCTAGGCGTAGTAGATCTATATTATTTGTATTTTATGCTCTGAGGTCCCAGACTAGGTAGATAATGGATCATGAGCTTGGAACTGAAAATACAACCCTGACTTGAAAGCAGAGCCTCAGTTCAATCTCCCGGGCGGGATGCGTGTCCCGCTGCTGTGGTTCGTTTTCACTGTTGGTGCTCACCGTCACTGCCAGATTTAGCTGAAGAAGGTGCTCGCTATGCCAGGTGCAGCTGAAGAGCAGCGAGCACAGGCGTCTATCTGTGGGTGGGTGGGTGGAGAGCTTTTTCCCAACGTTCAAGAGTAAAAACAGCCTAATGTTGAATGAATTGTTATCCTGGGAAAAGGCTCACATCAGACTAAATGGATGAAGACACCAGAGGCGTCATTGGTTCAAAGGTTACAGATCCTGGTTTCATATCAGTCTGGTTAAAAAGATCAGGGCTTATTCGTCTCATCCTTTGTTTTTTGTTTCAATCGCTGAAATATTTTATATAATAATATATTAGTTGTATTATTATTAAAACTTTATTAACAGCTAAACCTGGACAGAAAAGGCCAAAACAAACTTCCCAAAATAAAACAATAAAATCTTTAGTTCTCTAAATCTTCTGAATGAACACAGCGAACGCAGCCTTAGATATTTATGATATTCCAGAAGCCAGGAGACAGAAACAGATATTAGGAGCAAACACATCTTAAAAAAACAATGTATTATTCAGTAGACATCCAAATGATAATAGGCTAACCCCCCCCCCCCCCCCCCCCCCCCCCCCCCCCCCCCCCCCCCCCCCCCCACCCCAACAGTTCGGTTCACCATCTTGGCAAAGTTTTTGTAAATTTCTGTTTTTCAGATTTGAGTTTTCCGAAGGTTATTGTTATTTCTCTTCGCCTCTGGGGGCGGGTTTTCCTCTGCAGTGAAGAAAAAGGGATTTACTCATGTTTACTTTTTGCAGTGAGTCTTTAGTTTCTAGCTGGAAGGTGGGAAAAGACCCTCAATGGATGCAGCTGGTAACAGACTGTGTTTGTTGTTGTTTGTTGAGGAAAACAACTTGTTTCAGTGTCTCCCCTATCAGCGTTTCTAGACCAAAACATCTCCAAACTTTTTTTGTTTTAACCATTAGTTCAGCACCATTTTGACTCTCTAAACTCTGCGATCCGTTTCTACTAAGGAGGCGGGCACAGTGGCAAAGAGAATCCATCGGATTGGACAGCCAGGGAAAGGCTTCGTCTGATTGGTCAAACTTTACACAGCACAGATTTACAGAGCAATTCAAGTGGCTATGTGTGTTTGTTTGCCTTTTTTTTAAATCAGATTTTAATAGTTATTTCAATCTTAAAGAAAACTCAAGAGAAAATCTGAACACATTAAACCATCTTTTTATTTGTCTGTTTTAGCTGCAGGAAATATTTCAGGCACTCAGGATTGACAGACATGATGACAGCAGAGCTGATTTTTTTTTTAGCTGATCAATCAAAGACCAGCCTCCCCCCATATATTCCTGCTCGGGGGGGAGGAATGTTGCTGTAGTGAGGAGCAGCTCTTCATCCTCGCACACCGGTGGCCATTGTTCTCTGTGGTGCTATCGGTGATCCATGCTGGCTGGTAGCGCCATGTTTCTACACGTGTGCCGCTCCGCTGCCTGCCCTCGGGTCACGTTTCCCTCTGTGTGCCTGTGCAGTAGAAATGTTAGCTGCTGGCCTAAACAAAGAATGGCCGGCCTCTACCTGCGCTCCTCGCTGCCTCTCCTCTCCTGTCGTCATTCTCCGTCCTGTTTTCCTTCCCTCACACCAGGTTGACCCGGGTTAGAGAGAGATGCCGCAGCGTTCGTCTCTGCACCGGGTCGCGCAGTCCCTGCAGAGCACAGCCCCCGTCCGTTGCCGTGGAAACAGTGGGGGCGGTAAATGAGGAGGGCTGTCTGGAGTGACAGCCTTGACAAGAGTCTGGACCCTGAAATGACCTTGGTGGGGGAGGGCTGGGAGGAGGAGGAGGAAAGGAGAGCGGCAGGGAAAGGTCATCGCCGTTACAGTCATGTGTGATTACAGTGGGGGGGGGGGGTTCAAGGGCGCGTACACCGTGACCCCCCCGTCCTCTGCTAAAGGTCGGCCCTGGTAAAGATGCGTCTCCAAACCGCCCATCTGCCCGTCGGAGGGTTTATTTCCTCTTATTTGGCAGCGCAGCAAACGGAGCCTAATTAAATTTCTGCTGCTCGACCACTGAGTTGGGGATGTCATCATTACTGCCCATTGTGCTGTAACATGAGTTGCATCATTCCTTTAACTAGCCACCCCCCCACCCCCCTTCTTCTTCTTCATCAAACATTTGTCGGTGGTGTTTCTCGTGTTTCTTCCCCCACATCTGTTTAAAACCAGGCTGCTGGTGTCTGGGGGCTAATTACGCTGGGCTAAATAGTCCCTGGTGCCAGCGGCTAACGTGTCCTAGCAGATGGGCGCTGGTGTCGCGGGCCAAGGCGAACATGGCGTCAAAGGAAGTGGGGGGGATCCAGGGCCTGAGGTGGTGCCCCAACAGACTGGCGTCGTGTGGGTAACAGCCGTGCCACCCACTCACCACCCAGCCGCCCTCGCTATAGGTGTGAAATCACGTTGTGTTCACTTTACTCTTTCTGACTCCCGAATTCAAGTTGGACAAAGAAACTTTGAGAGACAGAGATTAGTTTGATCATTTTAATAGTTTTAAAAGTTAGTTGGATCTGATGAAAGCTGAAACCATCCAGTCTCTTTAGCTTCTCATGGAGAAAAAAGAAAGTTTAACTTTGGGTCACAGTTTGCTACAAGAGCAGCTAAAAGAAGGAAAAAATAAATCACAGAAAAATTATGCTGGGTAATCTGAAGGCTCCAAATGACCAAACATCACAACAGGATTTAAAATTAAAATATGAACAAAAAAATAAAATGGGTCCTAGTGGTCAAACAGGAAGCCAAACGTTGTCAAATTAAAATGATAACATTAAAATATCATTTAACTAGGGTCTGAATAAAACTCCCTACAACAGAAAATTAATAAAAAGCTGAACACTGGCCTACGACATGCAGAGGCAGGGAAGATCATGTTGCTGCATTCGGACAACTGGATGTCGAAAATCAGTTTAGTTTTAAACACTGCATCTCAGTGTGAAATGCAGGAACATAACATTGGCCTTTGGGCTTGCCATACTACTGACCAGTCCGGCCTCCAAACCTGAAGCCGCTCTGTGCTGAGCAGGTCTGGGTCTCCTGTGTTCAGAGAGCAGCTGGCAAGCCAACTGACCAGCTGTCCGTCACTGATACCTGACCATTCATTAAGAAGCTGTTATCCAGCATTATTGTTGAGGCTTCTCTAGTTTGACTTCCTCTTCAGAGCGACGTGAAGCTACCTGCAGCGCGGTGGAGGCGTGAACAGAGCATTTAGAAACTGTCACCAGAGCGAAGCAATGCTTTAAGCAGGATGGCCACAGCTGCCGGGGAAGGAGGTGGTCCTATGGCAAGCTGTTTTAACATAAATTCGGTTATAACACCTTTACATTCAAGATATCTCAAATTGTTTTATGACTAGACGTTTTAGCGATTTAAGATATCTCTAATTATATTTTGACTTAAGATATCTAGAAGGAATTACCGACTATCTGGAATACACATTTCAGATATCTACGATCAAATTACGATTAGTCATAAAGTAATTTCAAGATATCTCGATTTTAGTTTTGACTTATCATGAATTATGGTGGCATTTGAGATATCTTTAATTAGAATTATGACATCTTAAAGCTGAAGTCTGTAAGTTTTTAAAAATCACTTTTCGGTCATATTGGCTAAAACTGTCCCTATGCCCAGACAGCAGTACATGTGATATGTAACCTGTGAAAAAAACTGCTTCAATTGGTCCCGCATACTGCCTTGTATTGCAATCTGGAAAGAATAATTCGGGACGAGTCAAAACAACCAATCACAGCCAGATGAGCGTCTGATGGAGTGTCAATCACAGCTCACACACGCTGAATCCCTCCCTCTCACCGCTGAACCTGCTGCAGCGCCCGGCTGCAGTCAGGAGGACGCGCGTGGAAGTCATGGCGGAGCGACAGCCACCAGCGAAAGAGAAACTGCCCTTACTGCCCCTGTCGACAACTGCTTACACGGCAAACTTCGGTATAACCAGCATCTTATATCTAGCTGCTTGGAGGTGAGTGTTATCGCTCTTACCGGTTCACACTCCATGCCGCGTACGCTGCTTGGACGCTTCTGGTCGCATGCGGTAGCCGCGCAGATGCTGTGAGAGGGGTGGAGCTAGGAGGTGGGGCATGAGTGAAGCAGAGAGGGTGGGGGAGTGGCGTGAAACCTGTTTTTCTTCAAATTTTCAGTCAAAGTCTGCTCTCTTCTCAATGTTACAGACTGCAGCTTTAAATAATGACTAGACAAAAATAAATTTAAAGATATCTTGAATTGTAACTTCTACTATTTGAAAAAATTTTTTAAGATATCTCTAAATGAATTACAGATATCCTGAATTATTCAGCTTTTCCATTAAAGATATCTTGAATTGACATTCTGTTAGTCAAAATGTGTAATGATCTTTTTAATGGACTTCTATGAGGATAATTCCTAAAAAAAATTCCTTACTGTCAGTTTAATCCACAGGAGGAAAAGTTAAATCAGCATGTGACACTTTAAATGACAAATCCGGTGTCGTAATTTGAGATATCTTGACAGGAATTTTGACTAGTCAAAATGTAATTTAAGATATCTTGAATTATTATTCTTCCTAATCATAATGTAAATACAGATATCTTAAATTACCATTCCAGACAGTCAAAATGTGGCTTTGTCAAGTCAAAATTTATTTTAAGATATCTG